TTTAAAGGAAGTTAAGTTATTAAAATCCATAAATCCCAAAATTAAAGTCCAAAGTAAACACTTATAAAAAGACTAAACACTTAAATCCAAACTAAAATCAGGTTTGAAACCCAACACCGAAACATGAAGACACAGAACACTACATAAAAAACCAAAAAAACGATTGCGAATATAACAAATCAAAAAAATAATGCAGAAAACGGCAAAAATCTAGAACGATTTCACATAAAAATTCGAAATTCAAAATTCAAAGACCTGAATCTGATATTTTTATGTCAAGTCGAAATGACGTGCATCATTATTTGATAGTTGACAGCATAGAGGTTGACAGAAAAAGGAACAGACCAGGGCTGCGTTCAAAGACAGCGATCCTAATGCCAAAACCTACTTTTCCCCCTCCACCGGTAATGCCGAACTACGTACGTTGGAGCCTAAACTCGAACGCAAAATGCCAATTTTGGCTTGACTGTAGCCATTCCTGAACGCAGCCCTGGGGGATTTTATTTACTTTCAACTGGTGAAAATAATGGTCATAATTCAAACTCTATCATGAATTCAACTATACCTGCATCCCACATTTCTATTGGTTAGTTGTTGATTTGGCTTATAGCAAAATAGACGCTTTTTCCGAGACTGCTATATTCGTGTGGTGGAAATAATTTGTCTTGTTAAAAAAGGTTTAAGAATCAAAAAGTGTGTGTATCACTTCTAAATGGTACGGCTACATAAATAAATAGCTATGCGTATAAATGCGTTGGACAAAACAGAAACTGTGACAAAACCCTGACAACACCACCTACAAAGATTGAGGTATTTGCCTTTCAGATATTATTGACGTAGCATTATCAATTAGGCAATTCAAACCACGTGACATTCAAGATGGCGTGGCGGCCACACATGGGCTAAAAAACACAAAAAAATATCTAGTTTCTGCCCGAATTAATAGTTTAGGTACCTAGTTAACAAATATTTTATTAAATAATGAAAATCAAAGTTGTAAGCAAAACTCTATGCAAAATAATTTAAAATAAGCATAAAAACATATTCAAAATAAGCTTGCTTTGCCGCCACGCCACATTGAATTTTCCTTTTTGACAGATGGATTGAATTGCCTAATGGAAAATTGACAGGTTGACCCTCGTATAATAATGACAGTATATGTCAAATTCAAGACAGTTTTAAGTGTGTTTTACATAATTTCGTAAGTATCGCAGTAATAAAATTCTCTGGCCTATCTGGCCAATCAAATTTGACACATTTATCAATATATTTTTCAATAGTGCAATATATAAACGATACCTTAGTATTCTGCATAGGTAACCTTTAAAATCCATTGACATTTTTCAAAATTCGGCATTGTCAAATTTATTTCATATTTAAAAGATGCCCAAAATAATTTCTCAAAAGAAAATAAGGGAAACAGGAAATAATAAAATGTGACGGCTATCTCGAGAAAAGCAAACCAGAGGTTCTTCAGGGAATAATAATTGAAGTCCAACTAATATTTGGGGTAGGTATAGTTTGGATGTAGATGTAAAGCCAGTTCTTAAAACCAGCAACCAATATTTTTGTTGGACCAATCCCGAAAAAAAAAGTTACTGCGAAATAGTATATTATATACCTAGGTTGAGAAGTTGGTCATTATATACCGAGCGCTTTTATAAACCGAGGCGCAAAGCGCCGAGGTTTATAATGCGTGAGGTATATAATGACTTTCTCTACCGAGGAATATATAGAATTTTTTTTACTACTGCTAGTAGAAAATAAAAAATTTGCTTAAAATCTGTGCTCTAATTTTTTTTTTGAACGCCCTTTTGAAAGTGCTGCCCTCTATCAACAACTTATGATAACTTCCTATGTACCTACAGATACCTGTATTTTGTTTTAAATTGACGCATGAAATTGAAATTGAACCAATAGAAACATGACAATATCCTTGCGTCATGACGTCATTTTCATTATTGACCTAGGGACTTTTTCATTATTTTCATTATTCACCTAGGGAGAGAAATTCAATTTTTTCCTAGAAAAATAGATTGAATAATGACTATTTCTCAGGTAAGTAGTAAAAAAACATATTTATGCTGTTAAGCTTATTGTTATGGTTATGTTGGATTTATTTTATTTCGAATAAATTTAATAATGTTACTAAGTACCCATTTTTTAAAAAAATTAATTTGGGAAAATATTTTGGAATTGATTCTACTCAGATATTTTACACATTCTGGCAATTCGGCTTTCTGTTTTATAACTCTGAAATTTAAAAAATACTTTGTCATCAAATGTCAAATTTCCATGAATAATGATGCTACGCCAATAATATCTGAAAAGCATATTATATGTATGAATATGATTTATTTGATATAATCTTTTCTCCATGATAACCGTTTTTGGTTGTTTTTGTCTAGTTTTCAGTGGCGTAACTAAGGGCCCGCAGTTACGGGGGGGGGGGGCAGGCTACAAAAAAAAAATGTTTTGAATTCTGCTTTGCTTCATAATATTCAGGATTCCATTTCTCTTGCAAACCTAAACACAAACTTTGCCTTTCTTATAGGCCGGTGAAACACTGGAGAAATAAGTTTCATCAAACTTGTTGGAAAAAATAGGAAACTTGCTTCATTTGAGTTCATTATCACATGACACATACATTCAAATGAGGCGGAGCACACTGGCGTTCCTGGAATAGGAGAGCAGAAATTGTTTCACCAGTGTGCGCCACGTGTCGTGGTCGTGTGATAATGAAACAAATTTCCTGTTTCTTTCAACAAGTTTCATGTAACTTATTTCTCCAGTGTGTCACCCTCCTTATGAGCACATACTGCTTATAGGTACCTGTTTCTGCTAGTTGCTAGGGGTCGTACGACCGGGTGGAATATTTTTGGCACAAATGACAAAATTAACGTTTTGGGCGTGGCACCAGAATCAGAACAGGATTTTTTCGCAGGCGCCTGTGGCGGGCAAGTGTGTATATATTTTTTTATGTTGATGTTCTAATCTATATGCTGTAAGTCAGGTTTTATCAATCACAATCAATAATAAAACTGTAAAACAAGTTTTTAAAAACAGTCATGCATATTTGTATTTTTACAGTACATTTGCCTAGGGCGCCGACTCTGGGGGGGGGGGGGCCGCCAGGGGTGCGATACAAGAGTTACTCTATTGAATCTTAATCGAACATGTGAAACTTAACTCAGTTCTAGTTTTACTGTACTAATCTCATTCGTATTATCTTATTCTTGACGTTGCCTGTAACATAAGTAGCCAGCGCAGAACGTTCGTTTTCAAAGCTCAACCTTTGTTAATAAGTTAGGGCAATATGCCAACCACAAGGCCTGCAGAAAGGATTTCTAGGTTTTGGTCTTCTTGTTGCTTTTCTTCTATTTTACTTCACGTCACTGGGATTTCTCTTCTTTTTTAAATATTTTTTTGTTCAGTGAGTGTTGTATGCATGCATTTTCGTTTTTAAAAGATGCTAATGATGTTTTGTTTATTTATCTATTTTATCTTAACAGGTAGATGGTAGATAAGTGACATGTTATATTTTTTTTTACTACTAACCTGAGAAATAGACATTATTCAATCTATTTTTCTAAGAAAAAATTGAATTTCTCTCCCTAGGTTAATAATGAAAATAATGAAAAAATACCTAGGTCAATAATGAAAATGACGTCATGACGCAAGGATATTGTCATGTTTCTATTGGTTCAATTTCAATTTCATAGGTCAATTTGAAAAAAAATACAGGTTTCTGTAGGTACATAGGAAGTTATATAAGCTGTTGATAGAGAGCAGCACTATCAAGAGGGCGTTCACAAAAAATAATTAGAACACGGATTTTAAACAAATTTTTTATTTTCTACTAGCAGTAGTAAAAAAAATTCTATATATTCCTCGGTAGAGAAAGTCATTATATACCTCAAGCATTATAAACATCGGCGCTGCGCGCCTCGGTTTATAAAAGCTTTCGGTATAATATAATGACCAACTTCTCTACCTAGGTATATAATATACTATTATTTGCAATCATATATGTAATCTTGACATTATTGGTTTTTTAAAAATTTGGAAGTGTCACTTTACCTGTGTCACTTCCCTCTTCGATTTCCCTCACCGATTTCCCTCACTGTAATTTATTTACCTTTGCTGGCAACAATGAGAACATGTCAGGTGAAAACGTCAAAACAGTGAATGACACATTTTGGCATGTTTGTTTTATTTTTTTAATATTCAAAAAATTAAATGACTAATCATAATTAATGGTGTACTTGCAAATAAAATAGTATACAAACCTCGGAGGGAAGTTTTCATTTCTGTCTCGAGATTAATAGTCAATCTCGCGTCTCGATTGACTATATAAATCTCTCGACAGTAATGAAACACTTCCCTACTCGGTATGTAATATACTATTATTTGCAATCATATATGTAATCTTGTCATTACTGACTTTTTAAAAATTTGGAAGTGACACTTTACCTGTGTCACTTCCCTCTTCGATTTCCCTCACCGATTTCCCTCACTCTAATTTATTCACCTTTGCTGGCAACAATGAAAACATGTCAGGTAAAAATGTCAAAGCAGCGAATGACACATTTTGGCATGTTTGTTTTATTTTTTTAATATTAAAAAAATTGATTGACTAATCATAATTAATGGTGTCCTTGCAAATAAAATAGTATACAAACCTCGGAGGGAAGTTTTCATTTCTGTCTCGGACACTTCCCTACTCGGTATGTAATATACTATTATTTACAATCATACATGTAATGTTGACTTTACTGACTTTTAAAAAGTTCGAAAATGTCACTTTTTTGACTTTTACTTTCGGCCCACGGGTCGAAAGTTTACTTTCGACCCGTGGGCCGAAAGTGAATGAAATTTTTAAAATTTATTGTATTTTTTGACTTTTACTTTCGGCCCACGGGTCGAAAGTAAACTTTCGAAAGTAAACTTTCGACCCGTGGGCCGAAAGTAAATGAAATTGTTAATTATTGTATTTTTTAGTTTTAATCCAAATGAAAATTTCAAAATTCGAATGATTGTAAATAAAATAGTATACATACCTCGGTGAAAAGTTTCATTACTGTCTCGAGATTTCAGTTAGACCTCGAACACTCGAAACACTTTCCACCTCGGTATGTAATATACTATTATTTGCAATCATATATGTAATCTTGTCATTACTGACTTTTTAAAAATTTGGAAGTGACACTTTACCTGTGTCACTTCCCTCTCCGATTTCCCTATTCGACTTCCCTCACCGATTTCCCTCACTAATTTATTCACCTTTGCTGGCAACAATGAAAATATGTCAGGTAAAAATGTCAAAGCCGCGAATGACACATTTTGGCATGTTTGTTTTATTTTTTTAATATTAAAAAAATTGATTGACTAATCATAATTAATGGTGTGCTTGCAAATAAAATAGTATACAAACCTCGGAGGGAAGTTTTCATTTCTGTCTCGAGATTATTAGTCAATCTCGACGCTCGATTGGATAAATCTCTCGACAGTAATGAAACACTTCCCTACTCGGTATGTAATATACTATTTATTTTTATTTTTTTGAATATCTGTATGAATGTTTTTTATGTTCCTTGTTTTATTTTATTTTCAAAATTTGGTTTATGTCTTTTGATTTCTTATTTTTAAACGAGTTTTTAAACAATTGAAAATAACACACAGCGACTCTAAAACAGTGAGAATCACTGGTATAAATATACAATCATGCAGAATCGTGCAATGAGGGTGATTTTGGGATGTAACAGATACACTTCAATCCGTTCTATGCAAGAACGTTTGCAATGGTTGCCTGTTTCTGAATATATTAAGTACAGTGTTATGGTTTTTATTTTCAAGATAAAGAATGGTCATGCCCCTCAATACTTAATGGATAAAATAATTTATAATAATGAAATCCATAACTACAGTACACGTCAGCAAAACGATTTTTTCATAGCACCAAAAAATAAAAAGTCTGGTCAAAATACGTTATTTTTTAGGGGAGTCGATCTATACAATAAATTGCCCGCTGTGATAAAAACATGTGATTCAATGTATAGTTTTAAGAAACAGCTGAAAGTTCATTTGCTGAGAGAAAATAATTTGTATGTACCTTGAGATGGTTAATTATTGTTCTGATTTGGATTGATTTTTGTTTTTTAAATTGTTAACTTTATTGTAAGGATGACTGGATTTGTAGTCTATAGTCTATGATTGTTAGTTTTAATAAGTAATGTGATTTTGATATTTTGTTTTAGATTTTAGAATAAGACGGAACCGGTATATTGTAACATAGAATTAGTATATTGTGCTAAATAAATGACTAAATAAAAAAAAAATCATATTTTAATAATACGACGCGCTAGCGGAGGAGAGTGTCGGCCGCCCGTGTGAAATTTTTTTTGGGTGCCACGCCCAAAAACGGTAATTTCGAGCCTCAAAATGAACGTTTTTAGGCGTTTTGAGTAAAAAAAAAACTTGTTTGGAAAAAATTTGTTTTCTATGAGTTGTTTGAATGCGCGTGATCAATATAAATGACAGATACTGTCCTAAAACCCTAAAATGACATTTTTACATGGAGAAATGTCACTTTGTCACTTTGAGGAATACTTCCAAGGCTTCCTTAAAATGGTCGGTGGCTCTAAGGTCGGTGCAAACGGCCATCAGTCTTCTTTCTACAATAGATTTTTTGTCAAATATGACAATCCCTATCATTGCCGTAGAGTCTAGGTTTCTAGGACAACGACGTGCGACGTTGCCGATATTTCGTTTTCAACTGCAACATATTGTGATGAATTTGACTTGAATGTTGCAAGACCTGCTATCGCTGTTTGTACTCCTGTTAGTTAGTTAGTTCAGTAGTTTAGTTAGTTTGCTTTTATTTGATCTGTATTAAAAAAAAAAAACATACATTTTTTACCCTACAATGGAGCTATCTTTTGACTATAAAGGAAAATTGAGAAGTTTCATGCAGGGTTGACTTTTCTATTGGTCTTATACAAGTTTTTACCATGTGCATTTCATAGGTTGTAAGGTTGTTTCGAAAAACATTCACATCACCTTTAAAAAATTCATAAAGAAATTAGAAAAATTGCTCAAGAGTGAGAAATGCCCCTTAGCATCGACACAGTCAAGTTAAAGATGTAAGATTGCAGTTTTTAAATTTTCAGCAATGAGAATATCTCTAAAAACATCAAGAAACAATTGTTTGTTTTGAGTATGAGTTAGTGATATTCAATAAAACAATATTTACACAATTTATATTAAATCAGTAGGGTCATTAGGCTATTCTTCTGAATTACTCAATAGTGACACATCCAAAACACAAAAAGTAGCTCTACACATGGGACAAGAACATTTCTTCGACAACCAAAGATGTTTCTCATGAATAGTCTGCCTAGAAACGAACCATTTCGATATACAATCTAGGCACCACATTGGACGGCAAAAACAATCTGTACATTCGCCAAGCTCCTCGTGATGGCCTAGCAAGCGATTCTCCTCGTAGCTTCTGTATGTGCATTGCTTTTGAAGCTTGATAGCTGAACGAGCTTCTAGACAACCGATACATATATCAGGCTCCTTAAATAATCAAGAAATTGGTGCCACATAAGAAATTAATCAACACTTACAATATCTGTGACATATCGATGATTTTTTTCTACAGTCTCCTTGAAAATTTCTATAAATTGATCATTAACAGACTTGTGAAACTTAACATTGGGCAATACATTTATAGTCCTAGAAAGCCTGGTTTCTAAATCCACAAAATTTTCAGATTTTATTCTTATGGTGAATGGATCCATTCTGGTACTTTTAACTTCAATATTCATAAACTGAGCGTAGTTAGTCCCCATATCTGACATTTCAAAATTGGTTACTTTTTTAACGTTCAAAGTGGCATCACTTTGATGTGCTAGGAAAATTGTGAAAGGCGTTACTTTACAAACCCAGTTTTCTGTAACTACAATGGTTATTACTGGATTACTTTCAATGCAAACAGTACCGAATCTAAAATAAAAATAATTGATATTTCCTAGTTTTAGAACTGATATTATTATTTTGTGAAAGTTACCTTCTATATTCATTTTCAATATCAGTTGCTACAGTTTCCCAAGTGTTGTTGTTGTTACAATGCTTGCTTAAATTTACTGCAATTGGATGGGTCTTGTATTTATCGTATATCCATTTCTGAATTTGGAAAAGTGCTAAAATAGGAAGGGCTATACTCGTAGCAGCGAATGTTTGCCAATATATTGTGGTGCCTATAAAAAGACTTGATACCTGAAAATAATTCAATATGAGTACAGTAGTTATTTTTCAAGTTGTTGTAGACTAGTGTTAGCTACGTAGCTTAGTGGTCTCGGACAGGACAGAGGACGTTATGGTTAGAACAAAAAATTGAAGAGATTCTTCTTACCTCCTCAGCATATCCCATTATAAACAAAAGTATAAGGTAAATTAATGGCAAAGAAGAATAAATGAATATATTCAACATGGATTTTTTAATGTGGTACATTATAAATCGCTCTTTTTCAGATCCCAGGAAACTGCTGAACATATTTTTGATGGTAAATCCCGCACCGATAAACACATCGAGCGGATAGATTAGGCCCAAGCATATTAACAAGTACAGAAGAGTGAAGACGAACTCTTCGGACATACTTTTCTGTTTCCTGTTCAACTACTACCAAAATAGCTACAGTGGCTAGCCTCGCTGAGCTGAACTAGGAATAGGAACAATAATTTATAATTTTAAATTTTAATAATTTATTTTTGTTTTGTTTTGATTTCACAAGCAAGAGGGATGGTAACGATAATCGATATCGATAGACTATGACCGATGTTTTGTATATCGATATAATACAACTCAATAGCGTGTAATTACACGATTTGCGTGTATTTTGATTGGCCTGCGTGTATTTTTCGAACATAAACAAGAAGCGTGTATTTTGCGTGTAAATAGGCCTATTCTATTCGGGTTTGGAAACAGGGGGCGGATTACGAACTCTCGATTCGAACCGAAACCGCCATAGATTTCGAACGCATTCCTATGCATTCACATGGAGTGCGTTCGAAATCCATGGCGGTTTTGGTTCGAATCGAGAGTTCGTAATCCGCCCCCAGGACGGTTCTAGAACGGTTCAAAACAATCGCACAGTTTATCATTCGACAAAATGACAGCGACTCGGCTATCACCAGAGCCGGCCTACCATAAGGCGAACGGAGCGAGCGCTCCAGGCGCCAGACCTCGGGGGGCGCCTCCGAATCGTTTGATGATAAAAAAAGGGAGAAAAATATATTTCTGCTTTGAATCCTGTCTTCGCTTTCCGATATCCTGCTATTCTGCTTGCGAGCAAGCGCGTGGTTAGTATGTGAATCCCATAGAACGTTTAGGTTTAGGCCCACTTTCTTCATTTCCAGATAAATTTTCTGATGACTGTCTGCAAGACAAATTCACGAATCTATAATCCTATTGGTCGACGGATAACTGGCCGACCAAAGGGATTGCCGATTGGCTTTTTATCCGTCAGATTGCATTGTTTGACAGTTTATCAAAAGGTGGATGAACCGGCCCTAAAAGAGAAACAATGTGTTTGGAGAAGTTCTAAGATAGTGATAGAGATCATCCAAAGGCAGTCCTTCAGACCTTAGCATCAAATAATTGGCAAGATAAGTTCCCTTATATCTGGACAGCACTTCTTTTTGTTGTAACCATTCCTGTTTGCGGCGAAGATGAACGGAGCTTTAGCAAGCTTAGGTTAATTTACCGTGCGTTCAGTATTATGATCTGAGTCCTCCGGGCTTAAAGGACCACGCACGGATCTTATGAGAAAAAATAAAGTTCACGATTGTCATAAAATTGAAATATGTTATGCTTCTTGACCTCCTGAACGTAAGTCAGGGCCGTAGTCAGGGGGGGGGGGGGCATTGGGCGGCAATGCCCTATCTTTCAAATGATCATGCCCTACCTTTAAAACACAACATGCGTTAAGGTTTCTCTAGGAAATTTGTTAAGAATAGATAATGAATAATCTGAAATCGAGTAAGTGCGAGGATAAGTGTTTCCAAAAAAGCCTAAATGTTTGCAACAATTGTTTGACGTTTACACAGAGGAAGTTCTTCATTTCGAAAGAGAGCAAATGCAAGGATAATACGATAACACTACACAGGATTGCTTGTGGAAATCTCGTCCATTATCGTCCATATGGTGTAGCACCATTGACGACATCATCAACTACATCGTCAGCTGTTTGCGCCAGCGGTCGTAGTTTAGAGTAGTTAAGACACATAATAATGGGCAAAGAGAAAGATGCACACGAGATCTAAAAGAAACGTTTTTTTTTAGAATGTTAATTAATGTACTAAAACCGTTTGCATGGAGCAAAAGCCTGCGGAAATATAACCGGTGGTCCAAACATCCTACGTTAAGGCGAGAAACGACACGCTGTTTCGTCATCACTGGTTCTTTAGCGTGATGGGGGGCTTGACATTTGATCTATACAGCTATCTGTAGAAGTACTTAAGACCGAAACACACGGTTTTGCATAGCGCATAAGTATAAGCCCCAACCAATCACAGGTTGTATTAAGGGTCACCTGATTTTTAGTTGACGGTCAGGTGACCTTTAACTGTGATTGGTTGTAGCTTATGCTTATGCGTTATGCAAAATCGTATGTGTCGGCCTTAAGTGTGTATTATCCTTGGTACGAATGGTTCAAGGCGGCGCGAGAATCAGCGCCATTTTGTTCACTTGTCAGAGCTGTTATTTTTTGAAAAATTTGCCTTCGGCGCCATTACTCTCATTTTGTTTACCTATAAAAAGATTAAGGGGGGGAAGTTGGCAAGTAGTGTATGCCCTATGTCAAATTTGTCATGCCCTATCACAAATTTGACTCTAGCTACGACCCTGACGTAAGTTCTCGTAGGCCCAAAAAGATCTTATGGTTAGTTTCGGAGATACAGGGCCGGGTTAAAATACATAATTTTGACAAAAAATCTAAGCAAAAAATGCATATTTCAAAATATGTTGAGTTCAGGCAATGACATATCCTAGAATCCTAGGTTAAAAACGGGTGGAAAATTGCTACAGTGATGTCATCCGAAGCTTTGAAGGTTAAAAACTTGTCGAAAAATGCCAAAAATATGTCATTTTTCGTTATGAATTAAATTAATGTACCAGCAGATTCTGGAGATTTGGGCCACTTTCACGTGCCGGGAATATGGCAAATTATAATATTTTTTGACGCAGATACATCAGTGCAAGCAAGAATGAACAATATTTTGCAAGATTTTAGTCAGATTATTAAATAAATTAATAAATAAAAACTAAAAATTTAAACGAAAAATCACGTGATTGAAAACGCTCTGTGATTGGCTAAAGCCGATTTTGACATTTTTGTTGCCACATGTAGAAATGCGAAATTTAAATGAGTTAATAAAGATTATACCTATCCTTCATTTTTTTATAATGTAGTAAAGGACGAAAATAGTTTCTAGCTAGTGAAATATGTAATGACTTACTAATGAGAAATTTGGCATCCTTGATTTTCTGGTGTGTGACGTCACACACCAAGTTCATTTTTTCACGCCAGTTTAAAAATTCGATTTTTAAATAATTTTTTTTTCAAAAATAAGCGGTTTTTTTCGGAAAAAAAGTTTACAGATAGTATTAGAATGACTAAAAGAATAATTTAAAAATGTTTTTGAAAAATGTGAAAGTGGCCAATTAAGTCGGCTGGGTGCAGGTTCATTCGCGTTCGTTTATTAAAATTTCGAGGGCTCTGATACAACGTTTAACTGCTCTGTGCGCTAATGGTCACGAGACTACTGCTTCGTTTCAGCATACTCTGCTCTTTGAGCAAAACTCCGAACGCAACGTGTAAAACGTACCTTAAGGGTCAACTATAGCAGAAGACAACCTTTCTGATCTGTCCCTGCTGTCCATTGGATATGATATAGCTCAGACATTGTCATATGAGGAGATCATACAAATTTGCAAACACAAAAGTGCGCAAACAGGGATTTACCTAAAATTTTGTATTTTGTTTGTTCGATTTTTAGGTTTATGGTTTATGAGTATTAATTGATAATTATTACCAAAGTTGATTATTGATTGATCTCATCAAAGAATGTGGAACACACACAACTTTCATTATTTGCTTGACATTCTACTTTAAATCCAGTCTCAAAAGGAAAAGAGTACCAACGGTACCAATGAACATGGATAGGGGCCTATAGGTTTTGGGCAAAATTCATGCGAGTACGATTTACATTTGAATTAGGGGCGCCAAAGTCGGATCTCGCTCCATCCTAAAAGTAGGCTCGGGCCGGCACTGGCTATCACAAATTTCAATAATAAACTGTGCAATGCTTTTGGACCGTTCTAGAACCGTACTTTTTCCAAACCCGAATAGGCCCATGAAAAATTTGACATTTCTTTATTTTTGTTCTGTTTCACGGCTTTCCAATCTGAAGCTGCGGCCCTAATGTGACATAAATAGGAATTGACGTTTTCTCTTTCCTTAATTTGCTCCTTGCATTCCATTCCATCATCTTAGATAATACACACTGATTGCTTATCGGCCTCGTTTTTGATAATCGCGGTCATGGTGTAGCACCATTGTCGACGTCATTAATTAAGTCGTCAGCTGTTTGCACCAGTGGTCGTTTCTAAATTTATGATGAAAAATAAAAAATATTAATTAATTTCGATTATAGGCGAAGATGCAAACGAGATATGAGAAAGAGTTGTTTTGGAATGTTAATTAATGTAGTGAAACCAAGTTTGCATAAAGCAAAAGCCCGCGGAATCATAACCTGTGGTACAAACACCTTACATGAAGTTCGAGAAGACGAGAAACGACACGCTGCTACGTCATCACTGGGACTTTGGTATAGCAGCGGGGGCTTGAGATTGAACTACACAGGCCTCATGAGGATAGAATATCCTCTAGTAGTAGTGTGTAGTATCCTTGCAGGAAACTGAGGTCCAAAAGTAACCTCTTTTCCAGGAACCAGAGTAGTTAGTAATTCGATTACTTTCGTACCGCTTTTCTGTAGTTGCCACATTTTTATTTTTCGCTGAGGAATGATGATCAGGAGCATTAACCCTCAGGGCCGTAGCTAGAGTCAAATTTGTGATAGGGCATGAAAAATTTGACATAGGGCTTTGGGCATGCACTACATCCCCCTCCCCTTAAATTTTTTATAGGTAAACAAAATGGGGGTAATGGCGCCGGAAGCAAATTTCTCAATAAATAGCATCTCTGGCAAGTGAACAAAATGGCACGTTCAGACAATATTTTTTGAGGGACCTTTTTTACTTGTACTACTTGTAAAATAACTGTAACCTACTAACTTACTCGATTTCAGGTCGATTCATTAGCTGTGGTTCAACCGACATGGGAACCGTTCCAGAGCCAGTAATTTCCAATTTCCCACCCAATTTTCAATAAGTTGAACGTTTATCCTACTTGACAAATGAATTGATCGACTGGAAATTACCGTTCTAGATGTCGGTTGGAACAGCTAGAGCTTTCATCTACTCTTAAATTTCTTAGAGAAACCTCAACGCATGTTGTGCTTTAAAGGTAGGGCATCATCATTTGAAAGATAGGGCATTGCCCCCCCTGGCTACGGCCCTGTTAACCCTTAGATTTAACTGGATTTAACCCATTTCCCAAACTCATAAATCACAAAAAAAAAATATACTTGCTTCTTGATGTGAAAGATTAGGTACTAAGATCGTGTGTAAAAATCGTGTAATTTGTGAAAAATGAAAGCGTGTAAAAA